TCAGCAATGGTGCAGCCCCCACCACGAAGCCCAGGACGCTTTCTCCAAGCTTAAAAAGTAAGAAGCCCCGGGGAACTTGTGCTGGTGATTGGAACAGACATGAGAGCTGCGGCTGCACCTCAGGTTCCAGCCCCGAAATCCTGGAAGGGGTTAATTCAGGCCTTCCTGGATGCTGCCACCGATTTTGACCTTCTAGAAGATGAGGAGAGCAAACAACTTCAGAAATGTCTCCATGAAGACAAGTGTCTTGCTCATGTGGCCCATGACCTTATTTGGGAACTCTCTCCTGATGGTAGTAATGATCGATCCACGTGCGACAAAGACTGTTACATGCAGCATTCAATGACTTGGAGTCAAAGACGGAAGACTCTGCTTCGGTCAGTGCTCCATCTGATGGGAAATGGAGCCCTGGTATTGGCTACGGTTTTCAACAGTGTATGAAGCAGCCCAGGGGAAACCACGCGCACCCTCTGACCTTACTGATGAACAAAAGGTTCTCCAGAGAAGCGGAAGCTGAAAGTGTTACCATCCACGGGGTCTACACCAATCCTGCGGCACTGACCTCGTCCAGCTGGGTATCAGGATGTGCTCAGAAACACTGAAGTTATGAGAGAGATGTAGAAACTCTACGCAAATAAGTCATTTCTTTCCCTGGTTGAGGAGGGGCTGTGGGTGACACCACTTTCCAAGCCCTTTTCTCATTTCCAAGTTGGATGAGGTCAGTGCCACAGGATTGGTGTAGACTCAGAAGCATAAATCGGACATAACACATTTCATGCTAGTTCGGATAGGAGATAGAGTTCAAGAAGCTTCGAGAAGACCTGGGGGACAAAGGGATTTACATTGTCCCTTATGGAATTGAATATGCTGATCTTCCAGAGTATTTCAAGGGACTGACCTATAAGATGTCCAGGAGGGGACAGATGAGCAGGCACGGTGAAAGCAGGTCAGCTAAATGGTCCATCTGCAGCACACAGTAAAATGAGAGACCATAGTACACGAGAGGGCTACAGAAGTCACCACCGTTAGACCGAGCTGTAAGGCCCTACTGTGGACAGTGTTCAACAGTAAACTTACAAGAACCCCACGCAGCTCCTAGCAATAATCGAAACCCAGAAGTTGAACGCTGGGGCTACACTGAGTATGGTGGGGGAATGTCCCAACTTAACCCTTCTTGCCGGTCAGTTCTCGGTCTTTTGTTTTGTTTTGTTTTTTCCTTCCTTGGTTCTTGGTCTTACGTGAGGCGTGGCTTATTGATAACTCGGTCATATTCCTCTGCCTAAAAAATATATATGGATATATTGGATCATTATTTTAATAACACTAGGTATTAAATTTTTCTATCATTACAATTATCATAAGAATGTAATTGATAAAAAAAATGTAAATACATCACAATTTTTTAATGTCCCACCAAAAATTTTAACACCTTTATTGAGATACAACAGACATAAAATAAACTACACATATTTAAAGTGTACAATTTGATATGTATACACTCATGAAGCCAGTTCCCAAACTTTGAGAAATAATTATTAAACAGAAAAAGTACAGTGGGTGATTTTCCTCACCAGTTAGTTCACACATCCCTGGGTGAATACTGCTTGTGCTAGAATGAGATCACTTTAGCAATAATTTTATTGCTAATTTTTACAGCTGTTGAACAGTGAGTGGTGTGGTGAAACCAGTACAAACTGGTTTCATGTTTGGGGCATTTTGTGGGTGGTAGCTAAACATAATCATTACTAAAAATTAAATTATATAAACTTACAATTAAATAAACTATATAAGAAACAAAGAAAATAAGTACTCAAAACATGACTGCCTAATTATTTGCCTACATTTTACTGTTATCTATGTTCTTGATATTATTTGCACCTATTGTATTTGTGTGGCATCCCTAACTAACTCTAAATTCAGTGGCATCACGCTGGTAATTGAAATCAGCTGTGGTGGGAATATTGACACCACAGAAATTGGCAAATGGAACAAATAGCACTTTCTGACTCTCCCCACTTTCCCTCCATGCACCACATATCGTTAAATATTTACCAGCACACCAGTGGCTGTAGGTGCTGAGAAACCCTCTTCACTTAAAGAGCTGGTGGGAACGAAAGGTGCTTTGTTATAGCAATGTGATGACTGATAATTAAAATCACACAGCGATCTATCAACAAAAAGTATTTTTAATGATCTACCTACTGACAACTAGATTAGAAGCTCCTTCAATTCTGTGGACAGAAAAGATGGCAAAATCCATCTGGCTGGCAAAAGGATTTCCTATTCTGACATGAAATTCATTCATTTTCTCAGCTTATTTCCAAAGCCAAGCTGAGAAAATTGGCTTTCCTTTAAATCCGTCGGGAAGCACCTGAGCGGCATCTGAAGCTTGCTTTACTTCCGAGGCTGTCTGCCGGGAGGATTTTCCTCTTTGGGTAATTAAGGGCTGGGACGGCGCAGGGGCGCCCACTTTCTGCTCTTCACACACTCTTCATAGGAAGCCAGCAGAGGCCGAAATATCCTGGTTCTGGACCCATGCTTCAGCCTTCGAAAGACAAATAGACACACATATTCTTATAAAGACATATTATCTATGTGTTTATATATCTTTATATCATATTTTCATATCTTTACACCATATAAAATAAGAAGAGCTACGGAGGCTAGACACCATTGGTACTTTGATTATCATGGGATGCTCCCCTCTAAGAATTCCAACAGTACCTGTACTTGGGGCCCCAGGGGATTTACCCCCTTGCTCTC